TCTTCATCAATAATTTCTTTTTCATTACTAGTTAAATTACTTGATAATGCTGTTCTTCAGTCATGAAACTGTTTTAAATGAAGAAGTTCTTTTATTAAGAAACGAATAGAATACCAAGAAATTTGATGTAGAAGCTGATAGTTTAAAAGCGAAATTCTATTTGTCTTCTTTGTTAATTCTCGAATGCTCTTCATTTCTCTATTTTTCAAATTAATAGATTTGTTTTAATTATAAAATATATTTTCGTTTTATATAACAATAATTAATATAACACAAAGTCAATTTAAAAATGAGACTTTTACAGAATGAAAAGAAGATATCCAATTATCTCTTTCTTTCATATTATAACAAATACAAACCATTGTATTTAGTGTGAAAGAATAATTTTTATCTGAACAGACAATTAATTTAGAAGTATCACAAATATATTCTACTTTACAATAATATTTTTTTAATAAACTAATATCTTTACCTGAAGGTGCATTTTCAAATCTAGTTAATATTTCACGTTCATTACGATATTTTTCTGTTACATCAATTTTAGCAATAAGTAAAATGTCATTAAATAATAAACATAATTTCCATTCTTTTCCTTTAAATTCTTTTGATGTAATTTTTACACCACCAAAATGAATTAAATACCTTCCTTTTTTTTTTAAATCCATTCCAGTTATTTGATTTAATTTTTTTAAAGAGAGATCACTAATTGATGATAATACTTGAATATATTTTTTTATTGTTTGTTTAATAATTTGAGATGGTTCTGATGTTTTACTCATTAAATAAAATAATAATGCTCCTAATCTTCCAAAATGTTGTATTGGTAATTCAATTAATTCTTCAAATGGTTTTACTTTTTCATGTGTTTCTTCATATTCATTAATAGCAATTTCTAATGAATGAAGAATGTCTTCTTTGTAAGTTAATTGAATTAATTCACGTATTTTATTAATTTTTTCAATATACATTCCATAACAAATAAGTTCTTTAGAATACCATTCTAATGCATTAATAATATTTTCATTTCCATTTCCAAATGTAAACATTCTTGAAATTCTTCTTTCTAATGCCATAATTGGTGGAATTAATTTATTAAATGTTTTTAATGCTGAAACAATTATTCTTGAAGAATTTCTAATAGAACAAAATGGTCTAATTGTTCCAATATATAAAATTGCTAATGTATGTAATCCTTCATAATATTCCTTTTGATGATAAATAAAATTATTAATATAATTTCCATTTAATACATCAACCAATACTCCTGCTGATATTGCAATTTTATTTCCATTAATTAAAATATTTGTTGTTCCACCTTCATATTGAATTGCATTAAACTTTCCTCTTAAATATTTTTCAACTAAATTATCTGTATTCATCATTCTTTCTATTACTTTTGTTGATGGAATTTTAATAACATTTTTAAGTGTTTTTCTTTGTAGTAATGATGAAAATAATTGCCATTCATTATCATCTTCTTGTTGTTTACTACTGTCTTTTTTACTTTCATTTGTATTATTTGATAATTTAATTGTTTCATTTGTAATTTGTATTGGTCCTAAATTCTTTGTTGATGATGAGTTAATTCCAACTCTTCTTCTTTCTCTTAATGCAATTTCTCCTCTTGTTACAAGTTCTGAATCAAATGCTGAAAGCATACATTCCATACTTCTACTTTTTGTTAATTTTTTATCAGGTATTGCAGGTCTTTTATGTTTATCATGAGGTGTAAATGAAATATTTCTAGTTGATGAAAAAGCTCCTGGTATTGTACGTTTTAAAGTAGGACGAGAAAGTTTAGGGAGTGGCTCTAAAAATTTAGGAGGAGTTCCAATTTGTTCTGTTCGAAGGAGTTCTGAATGGTCATTTGTTTTATTAGGACAAGAAGAAGAAGTAGAAGAAAGAGATGGGTCACTAAGAGTTTGACATTTTGGTTTTAATAAAATGTCTTTAGGTGTTGTGGTTAAATGAGTTTTAGAAAGAGATGAATTTGAAATTTTATGATCATCAGAAACAAATACAGGAGATATTGATGTGTCTATTAGAATTTTATTTTTTTTATCTGCATCACTAACACCTCTATTTCGAGTAAAGACATTGACATCATTAGATTCAAATGAGTGTTGTTGATAATTACTTGTATATGATGACCATTGATTATGAATAGCAGTAAGTATTTTAATAAATAGATATTCATTAAAAGGTGTTTCTAATTCAAGAACTTTATTCCAGAAAAAACTTTCAGTTTCATTAATTTTTCTAACAGTTGCTGGAAGGGTAGATGTTTGGTATAACATAAAAACGTCAAGAAGAGTTAAACTTGGCTCAGTTAATATTTCCATTTAAAAAATATTCGATTACTTTTTTAAGTTTTAGTTTTAAAATTATTTTTTAAAGAAATTTGTTTTTCTCCTATATTTTTTTTTAACTCTTCTCTTTTTGTTTTGTTTTCTTCTTTTACTTTCTTTTATTTAATCACTTTGCTCTACTATATCAATAACTTTTTGTTATTCTATTCTCTCTTATATTCTAATTAATACTATCAATTCACTTTTCCCAAAGTTGTGTTTTTCTGGTTTTGGAAGAATTTCATTAACTCAAAAAGAGTGAACTACCTCTCTTTGAACAATAAAATAAATTTATTTTAAGTTCTAAATCAATTCTCCTTGAATTTAGAAACATTCTTTATACAAAAAACAAATTAAGATTCACTTCTTAACTCTTAGTATTTCCATATTAATATTTTGTGTTCTAATTTCATAAACATTTTATAAAAAATATTCTAATATGTTTCGCTATTATAAGGATTCAGAGAATTTATTTAAACTAACTCTCAAGAAGAATAATTAAACTTAGAGTTTTTTTTGAATACAGTTTAAGTCTATCTGTTATTTAGATTAAAGACTTTTCTTTTTCACTAAAAAAGTACTGTCTCATTAATACTAAATAGAAAAGAGTTGAAACGCTATACTGATATGACTAATAAAAAGATTTT